CAGGACAAATCACCATCTTACAAAAGGATGGTGAAGTATTTTTAGTAAAATAAAAGCCAATATCAGTAAAGTAGTAGAAAATGATGAAATGCCCAGGCAATTCAAATTACAGCTTAATATAGAAAACCTTATTCTACAAGCAAAATCCTACGATAGGTGAACAGAAGAGTAACAACATCCTCGTGGCCAAAAAATGGACATGAATATTTTTGCTGTTCTGTTCTCATAAGAGTCCTGTTTCTATAATCTAAGAGGAAGTGGGACAAGTTACTACTTTACTTTTTTGCTTTGTTTCTTTTGGAATTAAAATCTTGTAAGAGCACCTTACAGAGCATTGAGGTGATTGAAGCTAAATTTCAGTCCTATCTTTAAATTGGATATTCCAAACACCACAGCACAGTTTTGCACCATTACCAGGCTGCAGTCTCAGTCTGTGACTGCTTCCTCAGCCCTTCTTTAAGAGGAGTGAACACCAGACAAAGGCAGAACATAATTCAGCAAGCCCAATGGCTAAAAATACGTCCATGCTATGGTAGGTATTCAGAACTGATGCCCTACATCTCCTACTGCTACTTCAAAAAAGGGCAGGGGAGGCAGGAAATACTTCACTCTTCCATATTTATCCTCCCCAAAAGACTGTACAAGCACTGCCTACATCACGTGTTACAAAAATCAAGATCTTTGAGTGTCTACTGGCACATGGGTAAGAATTTAAGTAATGCAGACATCTTGTTCATTATTTGAATACTAAATCAAATAAGAAGAGTGTTTGCAGACCACCAATAGATGCATTATCACAACTAAAGTCTCCTAACAATGCATGCAAAATGTACACCTGTACACACACACTGACTGGCTTTCAGACATCAGCAAGAATCTAACTTGCCAGCATGACAAAACTGTTGACAGAAAATCTACTGATCCTTGATGCCAGTTATTCATGTTTTGGTGCAGGATAGTTTTCTTCATTAAATATATACACACACAACCCAAAGAAATTGGGGGGGGGGGAAATCTAAAATCTGCTACAGTACATTTCATGAGTATATCAGCCTGTGGAGATGCTTCTCCGTTTAATACATTCAGTAGCAATGACACCTGGATATGAAAGATATATTATCATAAATAGTGAAAAAAAATATTAGGCAACAAGCTTAGAAACAAGGTAGACTTATTTAAATAATGTTAAGAAATAATTTGTGAGAAAAAAATATGATCTTTACATTTGCAACCCAGAAGATACAATCCTATCCTCATGTCTGGACAGTGTAAAACAGGCAAGTCAAACACAAAGAGGTCGTGCAGCTCTGTTAGATATGTCAGTGGAAAGAAAAGAGAGACTGCTTCATATGATAGGTTTTAAGGCTCAATTTGAAGGAGGAAAGCTTGAGTTGCAAACCACATAGGCAGCTCACTAATCTTTTATTTAGGAGAAATGGATAACCAAACAGTTCAGCCACAGCCCATGAGATTCAGGTGAAAATCTGTGCTCCACATGTGACTTTAAATCACAGCTTCTCAGTACCTTGTTTCCCTCTCTCTGAAAAAGGAAAATACTATTATCCTTTCCTATTTCACAGCAGGCCTGTAAGGATAAATGTATTAGACATAGATGCTATGGTAGCTGGTTTACTTCAGCATTTAGAATACAATGAAATTATACTTGTGTGAACATGCAAGTGAGATTTGCCAATAGAACAGTGAAGCATGAATCCTAAAAGCTGTCACAAGCAGATCCCCAGCACTCATACTATGAGTGGGCAGAGGAGAGTTTCAGTTAAGTTCCATATGGAATGAAGATCAAGACCAGATGCAGCTGAAATGTGAATGGAGGAGCCACAGAGTACAGCTACAGAGCTGTAGCTGCTACAGGACAGCACCACGTAACTGGGAATACATGGGACACGTGGGGCAGCTCCAATCATCTGTGTTACCCCTGGTAAGTCATATCTGTAGATTTACAGACAAAAATATTAACTGAGCCTCAAGAAAAAACATTCCAGGTTCTAAATAGCCCAATCGTTGTAATAAAGGAAACAGTCACAGAGCTACAGTCACAGGGCTTTAGCTTATAACCATGAATATGTAATTGCAGTGTTTGTACTCAATACAAAAAATAAGTCATGAAATGCCAACTTTCTCCATGTGGAGTTTCATTTAACATGCATCCAGTTAGTACATATATTGCTGTTAATAAACCTTTTGTGCTTTTCTCTGCACCAGTATTATGATGAGTGGAAACTATGAAGTTCAGAGCTCTAAGCATATGGAATTTTCCAGGTCACATGTTAAACCAAGGGCTGGACTGTGCTGGGCAGAGAACATTGAGAAAGAAAAAATCTGAATTCTAACCATATGTTTTGAAATGAAACAATATGCTCATTCTGTTACAGCTGAAAACTTCTATAAATGCTTTACAGTTAGCAGCAATAAAAAGGGAAAGTAATCTTGAAACAGCATTTACTGTCAAATAGCAAGTAATTACAGCATAGTAATGAGAATGCCTGATGTAAATATCACAAGCATGACGCAATACAATATTTATTAAATTATACCATTTCCATCATAATATTTATTAATGTGGTTATACAAGGATTAAAAAACTGACAAGAATTAAAATAAGTGGGACTTAGTTTTCCTTTTAACAATTCCATCTTAAGGCTATTTTTCATGATCCTCTGAAAGATGAAAATCTCTCCTTCTACTAACTATGATCAGTAGCAGAAAAGTGTGACTATTCAATAGTTTAAAATTCAATTGCAATTACAGAAAAAGCAATGCACCCCCAAAAAAAAAAATCCCACACAGAAAATAGGGTAAAGGGCAGTGCCTAGGACATCTTGGAGAGGCATCCACAGCTGCAGTCTATGACTCAAAATACACTGTACAAGACAGCCCCCTTGGCCAATGGGGAAGCTGGAAATGTTCTGCTGTGCACACATCCCCGCTAAAAAACACTGTGCTTTTTTGCTTATCTAATTACAGTTATTGTCATTAAAAAGTCAGAATTTGTCCAGGTTAGAAATTACCGTTAGCATTTCAAGCAATTAAAGACAGTCCAGAAAATTAGTTAATTGCACTCAAATACAAACATGCTCTTCCTATTAGAATTAAACTGCTCTTATCAGGGAGTTTTTAGGTTGCATTTATGTTGGTAAAAAGCAAACAACAAGAACAAAAAGAGAGAGAGAGACACTAAACACTTTCCAGTTCTCAGATTCTATACTTGGTGTGGTATCTGGGATTATTTCTGTGACTTAATATTGGGATTTTTCTGTTGCTACGTTATTTCTGTTGCTACGTTGTTTATATTATGCTTGTAGATTCCCCATATATTCTGCAGTCAGATTTTGCATTGGCTTTTCACAACAGAATCCTAGAATCACTTCAATTTAGATGGTTTTCCTTATAATGTACTCATTTATGAGGTTACAATCAGCAGTATTTGGAATGTAATTTTAAATTTAATGAAAACAATTACAAACAGAAATCAGAATTTGTTTTCATATAATAAAATCCATAAGTGTCTTAACAGTACAGGCTCAAGGTTCCAAACAGTACAGACAGCAAGGTTCCAAACTACTTAACAACTAACTTTTCACTCCAGAGGCTGAAAATTTTTATGACTAAATTGAACATAGCAGCCTGTATATTCCAGGGCCAAAAAGCTTGAGGTCTTCTATCTCGTCAGACTCAACCTGATTTGAAGGCAGGGGAGCATGTTAAGATTCACTTTAGAACATAAGACAAACTGGCTTTGTTTTTAGTATTGTAGTTCTAGTTCTCACAGTTAGCATTGCACAGAATAAGCCACCACTGAAAAGAATTTGACAGGGCCCTTTCAGTTTAAAGATAAACCTTTTTCTTTTAATGTCATGCTATAAGCTAACAAAGAAAGTCTTCACATTTGTCAAGAGTGCCAGACTTAGTCTGATGTGATAGATATTTGCTGTATGCAGCCTCAAAGCAGCATCCAGACATTGCTTTCTCCAGCAACAAGGATCTATGTGGTTTTGGGGGAGAAAGTCACAGAGTAAAGATATCTGTAGTCTACAGCTACAGGCATAAAACTCTGGCTGGAGTTTGAGTATGCTGCAGGCATTGGCTGGCTTTTAGGATGTGACATATCTATAGATATGCCTAATGGATCTTCAAGGTCTCTTTCAGTATAGCAGCTGGTTCCCAGTTAGAAAAGTACTCTTGCTACTACTGTCTAGGGACTTCTGTGCTAGAATTAAAAGTGATTTTGGTCTATAACAGGAAGAAAAACTAGAAAATAAAGCAAAGGGGAAGAAAGATCTGCCTAACCTCAGAGCTGAAAAAGTGGCCTCAATCATCTGAATTAAGGGATGGTTCATGACTGTAGTAGCTTGTAGGGCAGAAGCAAAGCCTGCAGAGTTCAACTTATAAATTTTTCAGACTCAGGAGTTCAAATCAATTTTATGACATGGCTTTCATCTACCACATATTGCACTGTCTGCCTCAGTAAAACGTACAAACAGGCAGCAGTGGAACTGAGTCCTTCAATATACTTCTGGGCACTAAAACCCAACAAGAACTGACACTTTCCCATCGGCCTCCACTGTTCTAATCACTAATTTTTGAGGACACATCATTAAGGAGACCAAGCCAGCAAAAAGAGACAAGTTGGAAGGTCAGGGGAGATGCCCACAAGAAGAGTCATGGAAAAAATCAGACGGGAGATGCGATGGCAGTGTAAACGACTGTCATTTCAGCCACTTCTGCGCCCAGAAGTGGCTTCCCCTGGAGCGACCTGCGGGGCGGGGAAGCCGCAGTTATCCCCCATCCCCGCAGGGCTCGGCGGGCGAGGGCCGGGCAGCCCAACTTGTGTAACAGCCGGGGCAGGAGCGGCTCCTCCGCCGCGCCCCCGCTGCCTCCGCCCTCGCCGCGCCCGCCCGGCCCCGCTCCGCCCGCAGCCAATGGCACGGAGCGGGGTGGCCGCGTGCGGTGGCGCCGACCCAGCGCTCGGAGCGCAGGAGGAGGCAGCGGGATCCGCTCCCCGGCTCCGGGCGCTCCCCCTGCCAGCGCCGGCCCCTCGGTCCCGCAGCCCCGCCGGTACCCGCAGCATGGACTCGGACTCCGGGGAGCTCAGCGAAGGCGAGCCGGTCTCGCCCGCAGGTAAGAGGGGGCTGGACGGACGGACCGGAGCCACCCGAGCGGTGGGACCGGAGCGACCGCGCCGAGGAACGCGTCGGGGACCCCCTCTCTGCCTCTGATGCAGCTCCGGGGCAGCGCTGCGAGGCTGATGGGACAGAGAGATGGAAGGGCGAGCCCCGCTCCAGCGGCCCCGAGCAGCAGAGGCGAGCAGCCTCCCCTCCCCTGCCCCGGCCGCCGCTCGGGCACGGACATCCCGCGGGCTGGAGGGGTGCGGCTGCCCGGGGTACGGGAGGGCTGCCCGGAGGAGCTCGCCTGTGACGCGAAAGCCAGTTAAATCGCAATGCTGGCGCAATGTGATGCTTTATATCCAGAGGGTGCAAAGTTTGAGGTTTTGGTCATGGCTATTCCGCTGTCGCTCCAGGACCACTGCGCCTAGAGAGACCCCCCCCTCCGGGGCTGGCACGCAGGGCCCCCGGGCTTTCAAGTCCTAACTTGTCAGAAAAACATACTGTCTGGCTGCTGCAGCGCACACAGTTCTTAGATGAGACGGTAGAGGAAAAAAAAAAAATCCCTCCTAGCATTTCCAAATCTCCACGTTCTTCTGTCCTACGCAAACCAGACCATGGTTGATGTGCCGTAGCCAAAGGCCATCCAGCACACATGGTAGCTGAGAAACACTAACTTGTGTGGAACTCAGCGCACACAGAGGCGGGTTCGCTCTGCCAGGACAGCACAGTCCCGGTGCTGGTCCCGAAATCTGCTGTGAGCTCACGGTCACCCCCTTCCCCACGGACACCTCGGGGTGTTCGACTCCGGGGTCGGTGGCAGTGTCACCGTGCCCGCAGCAGAGGGCCTGCAGGGCTGTCACACACACGGCTGGCACACGACAGATGCTGGGCTGTCACTGAGACCAGGTGCAGAAAGGACCTGTTTGACCTCCGGCTTCCCATGGTGGAAGTCACAGGCATCTTCTCTGAAGCCATTTAACTGGGATCAGATGCAAGTAAGCACAACTGGAATGATGTCTGAAATAGTCCTAGTGATTATAATAAATCCAAATAGAAAGCTGATGTGTTATGTTACAAGATCTTTGAGAAAAATCTTTTCACCGTGACCAGACCAGTTTAGACAAGTACTTTATCACAGCTCATACCTCCCTGCACCCTCAAAAAGGAAAGATTTCAACACCAAACAGTATTCTAACTACAGCAGGGGAAATATTTTAACTGTCCTATTAATATTACTTGCTACTGCTGTTCATCACTGCTATGAGGTAAATAAGTGTTATCTTGTCTAGTCTCCCAGCAGAACATTTTATAGCACAATCTTAAATCCAACTCAGTTTTAAATATTAGGGGTATTTACTCTTGATATCTTGCTTTGTATTTTCTTACTTGAGATCTAGAGAATGAAATAAGACTAGCAACAGGTCACAGAGCTCCTTATATTCACAGAGCTCTGTTAGGCTGAACTTATTAGCGAAGACCACCAACAGCTATACTTTTTCATCCAGATAAATATTCCAAGACATGCATGAAGAGCAAGTTACAAACATTAGATTTATAAACAAATTAATATAACATAGCTCCCTGCCAGCAACTTACTCCTGTTCTGGATAGGTTTTTCTTTTAAATAAATTAAAAATAACCATGCTTCGAGATTGCCATAAGTGCTTTTCATGTCATCACTTGCTAGCTGCCAAGAGATGATGTTCATCAGTCTCCTCTCCTCCTTTCTATTCCTTCTTTGTGCTAAGAGAAGAAAAATCTAGTATTTTGACCATACATGGCAGATGCCTATGCAGTAGAATAAAACTGGAATACAGTGAAAACTTGGTTGTTTTGTCTTAACCAGCTGCAATCTTTTTTTCTGCACTACAGAATTACTTGCTGTTTGCACGCCCCCCATCCTCTTTGGAAAAATACATTTTTGCTGGATTTCATTTGGTCTTTTTTTCTGTGCTCTGCCATATGTACAGTGCAGCATCGCTCCGTACGTGGGCGTTCAGTAGTCAGGCTGTCAGTCACTGCTGCAGGCACAGAAGCTGAGGGGTTGTAGTGTGGGATTCAGTCACCACCTTGTTCAGGGAGGTGCACACCTCACAGATCCCAGTGACCAGGGCGAGTCTGCCTGTGGTTCATAGGGCAAGCACAGTACCTCAGAGGAATATTTGGGGTGAACTCCTAGTAAGGGTTCAGTTTTGGCCACTGATTTTAGAACAGCCTGGAGTTGGTATCAAAAGTGACAGCAACTTGAATGTTCAGGTTATTTGCTTCATTACATGTCGTTACACTTCCCCATTTGTAAAGCAAATGTGTAATCTTACACAGTTAAATCTCCTTTTAGTCATTGCCCACTGCTTAGACTGTCCAATTGTTCAAGCCCAGCATGATACAGTTTACTTTATCTCCAGGGCTCCATGGTGCTAATGCACCACAGATGTTTAGAAGATCACCAGTTTAAGGGTTTGCACTACTGCAATACTTATTCAGCCTTTTGCCATGTCCCAATGGAACAGCACCCCTGCCATTCCTGAGACTCACATGGGTGTGCACGGGGCAGGAGGCTACCTAGTACACCCCCACCTACTGCCACACATGCTTGGCTTCCAAGAACCAGCTGGAATCTTGCTCCAAGATCCCAGCAGCCTCACTTCCTTTAATAGCCCACTTAAAACCGAGTCTCCAAGGAGGCAGAAGTATTTTTTCTGTGTTTATTCTGAACATGTCACAATAGCATCTTCATATTTCTTTGTTACAAACAAAAAACTCCTTATATGTGAGCAGTACAAGATGTTAGCTGTACTTTAAAGCAAACAAACAGTAAAAAGCACCACACCTCTAAGAACATTCAGCTCCACAGCCTTGGCTCCCACAAGTCTCCCACACCCATCTATTACTGCTTTGCATCCCAGTTGTCTGTAGGGTCAAAAAGTTTTGATTTTCAGAACGGTTACTCATGAGACAGACTCCTATTAAGAGCATTAAAGAGGTCTTCACAAATCTGAGAAATTTATATATTGTAATGCAAAAGAAAAAAGTTACATGGCTATTAGCTCTACCCTCAGTGAACCTTCTTGAGTCTCACTGTAGAGGTGACTAGTCACATTCCTTTTCTTATCCTGAAGAAGAGCTTTTGAGAACTGAACAGGTAATCTTAAAATAGAACACTGTTCCCTTTTTTAATGTCCACCTATTGAGAGGTTGGTTTTTTAAAAAACCTATTCAACAGAGCAACGGTCTCCTTTTCCTCAGCTTCCTCATAGGCATCCTGCCACATGAAAGAATGATCCTCCATGTCATCTTTCAGAGTAACATTACACAAAAATCCAGGTCATCACCAAGAGCAATGATTTTGCAGTGGATTTGGAGATTCTGCATGTAAGAGAAAAAAGGTGGCAGACTTTCATTTGATGTGCCCTGTCCTAGGTTCCCTGGCTGGAATAGGCAGGGATTTGGCCATATAGCTTTTGTGCAATATGGATTTAAGCCTTTCTACAAGCTACTAAGTCACAATACAGATTTCTGGTTTTATTTTCACAGAACTATTATGCTTCACTATTAACATAAGATAACTAGAGGCTCAATTGCCTGTAAGGTCTTTGAAACAAGACAGATTATCTTTGTGAAGTTTAATATAATGTGGAGAGCAAATTGTCACTTGTCCCTTCTCCGGGTTTCCTCCCACGGAAGAAGTCAAAAGACATTTGGCCTAGGAAAAAGAGCAGCTTGTGCTCCAAGCTGAGCTCTAAACTGGTGACAGGATTTTATTTTTTTTGTTTTAGCACTGTGGAGCCTACAACTTTGTGTAATGCCATGGATAACAGGATGAAGACAGCCTTATCACCAGGCTTCCAGCCACAAAGGCAGTGGGAGTCTGAATATGACTTCAGCATGTCTTCAACAGGGCTAAGATCTTAATGCATTTAAATTTATTTGGTAAATTATCTGAATTCTACCCCAAACAATAAATATATACTTACTAAAAAACCCAGCAGATTTAAACATTATTTGCTGTTGTAAAACAGCCCCAGCAGACAGAAATAATTTTTCTGGAGCTGTAACATTATTTGATTTGCAGTGCTTAGTAAATATTTTTTTCTGCAAATTATTTATCGTGCTATGTGAATGGCCGGTAGTTTCGTGGTGTTAATCTTTTAAGCCTGTTACATATTTTAATTAATGTTTCACAGAGTTAAATGCCATTCAAAAGCTAACATATATATTCTTGCAAATATAAAAGGATTTTGAAAGTGTACACTGAAGGCATTTAGCACTTAATTATTTGAGGCATCAGTAACATGCTTGTGTGATATAGGAGTTCAAGTAGGCATTGTATAACTTTTTGCAGTATCCCACCAGCCATTTGAACCATGGTTATCACGACAAAAGGTACACTTTGCCCCAAGGAATACTTGTGTGAACAATGAGGGGTTTGATTTATCAAAGCCTGGTTTTGATTCTACATAGAAATTTCCAAGTCAGATATGCAATAATATTAACTGGACTTCAGACAAGCCAGCAGAAGTGGTAGATAACATGTTCTAGATATGAAAGCTGGAAAAAAATTTTAAAAGTAAAAAAATTTTTTATTAAATTATTTTTAACACCTGTCTAATAAAGAGCTCTCCCTTCCCTTTCTGCTGGAAAATAAAGGAAAAACAAAGCTAAGTGACAAAAAGATGGACAAACAGACATGAACTAGCATGCCATGGGAACCTGTACACCAAACTCTTACAGGGCTTTTCGGATCACACTGCAGACTGAGGCAAGCACATGTCCAAGGTTCTCTGCCAAGAGAGAGTGGGCAGGAGACACTTTGGGATGAGCAGGCAGCAATTGCCTGTAAGAGCAGCAGCTGGGGCAAGCACGTGAGCCAAGAGCCTGGTTGGGTGATTTATTTTTATTTTTTTTTAAATCTTTACTGTTCCCTCCAGGAAACACCTGGGCTGCCGATTTGCATACAGACCCCTCATTAGCACAGTGTCTGCCAGTTGGGGAGCTTTGTCCAGCAGAAAAAAA